GGATGGGATTATGGATATCCTAATCCAGTTAGACAACTAGAGTATTGTTTTGAAGGGTAGTATAGTCTTTTTCCTCATTAACAGACTTCTTTCTAAAATAGTTTTCTTGATGGACTTCGGTAATAAGTCTTAAGTGCACCAACATCTTAAAGACCATTTTCTAAACCTCATTAGGTTTGAGAAGGCTTTCTTCCTACTGGGCTCGTTAGCTCACCCCTTCCATATAACATTTTTTAGATTTTGATGTTGAGTTGGGGAAATTAATATCAGGTGAGCATGAGAACAATGGGATTGAAGCAAATCAGGATGTGGATCCGAAATTGGAAGAATAGAGAGGTTTTTGATTGGGTTCTAGTTTTAAAATTCTAAATTTGTTGTTGGTTTAACAATGTCTTATGAATATTTCTTTCCTTAGTTAGTTGGAAGATAATTACTTTAGTTTTACATATTAAACTCAATGATTCATTTATGTTTGATTTGAGATTTCGTTTTCGTTTAGTTAGATGAAGTTAGTGATTGTTATTGATTTATTTTATGGTGTTTCATTTATGTTCTCATAGTTGATAGTTGTAGTTTAATTCATGCTTATATTGTGAAAATTGGGGTGTGACAATCAACTACTTTATGTTGAGAATTTCAAAACCCTAAAATTCAAGATTCCCAATCAAACTACACTACTAAAATATAAAAATATAGTAATATTCAAATAAATAAAATCCTAAAAGAAATCTACACTGTTTATCATATTCCAACCTGATCCCCATCAAACTCTATATGTTGTAATAAGGGTTTTGCCTTTTACATTTTCTCCTTCCTTTAAACCAAAAGTCTTTCAATCCAACAAGTATTCTGTTTATTAACCCAAAAAACAATAGCTTTTTTTGCTTATAATTTCATCTAGATAGGAAGAAAGGAAGGAAGGAAGGGTATAAAGTCAAAAACCAAATTTAGAAAAAGAAAGGGAATATTGGCAAGAGGTACACTCTAAATAACTTATTTGTCTTAAAATACATTGTTTAGACTTTTCGATTATTAAATCCTCATTCTCCAAAATATTTGGTGAGTAGATACACATTTATACCTTACATATTTTTGTATTACGTAATTACTCTTACTTTAATTCATGCATAATAGATTTAATAAGTTCCTTAATTTTTGAATCTTGCTTATGAGATAAGAGGTTTCCTAAATTAAGAGGTTAAAAATTATTTTAAACATCTGAAAGAGTCCTAATTTGAAAAAAAAATTATAATTAATATATATATATATATATATATATATATATATATATATATATATATATATATATATATATATATATATTAGATAGAGAAATAGTCCTTATCTTAGAAAGTATTTAAAATTAAAAAATTTTAATTTGGCATTAATTTTATCTTGGTCATCTATGTATGTGTATGTATGTATGTACGTATGTGTGTATATATATGTATGTATATATATATATGTACGTAACAAATTTAAAACTTAAATAAATTTTAAATTCCTTAATTTTAAATATTTCTCATATTACGATTATTTCTCCCTAAACTCCTAAATTTTGGGGTTTTCTCTTATTAGAACTATTTATCTCTCTCTCTCTCTCATATTATATATATATATATATATATATATATATATATATATATATATATATATATATATATATATATATATATATATATATATATATATATATATATAACTATTATAACTATGACACACATACTCTGGCAAAAAATTGTGACAAAAAAAAAAAACTATGACAAGCAAACTATGAGAGGAAATATTTTCAAATGTTCAATTATGTAAGTTACATTTTAATTTAACAATTGACAAAATAATGTTAACAAATAGCAATGATACAATAAAAAATGTGACCGAAAATAGTGACTTGAACTGTGACAAAAATATTTCACAGTATACGTGTCACAATTTTTGTCACAAAATATATATACTAGTAATTGTTCGTGCCTGAAGACACGTTACTTATAAAAAATGAACAAAAAATTTTTTAAAGCAACAACACATATACAAATACATCAAGATAATATAAATGAGCAAATATACTCCTAATTTATTATGTCCACATATAGAAAAAGCATTGACATTGGACATTGAACTATTAAAACAAATTTTAGTGATAGTAGATAAATTTGATAATAATCCAATCAATAACATAAACAAATCTTTAGTGATAGTAGATGAAACAATAGTAAAAATCATGAATATTAAACAAACCTGGATTATTAGACTATTAAACAAATCTGAAATATTGTTCAACAAATAGAGTAGCAGCGAGAGAGAGAATTGGTTGACTTCGCAAACGAAATCCCGAGTCAAGAATCGTAATTAGCCCAATGTCATGTATGAAACAGTATCTGCATCAATATATCAGAGAAAATTGAATCAACAACTGTAGTATTCACTCAAGGGCAAAACCAGAAATCAATATGTATCTCAAACACACAACCAAAATTATCTATTCAACATATCTACATAATTAAGTTTACAACAAAAAAAAAAAATCAAAAATCTAGTTTCTAAATATGCACATGATTGCATACAAATTAGTAACATCCCAAGTTCACCGAACTAAGAAAAAAATGTATAGCAACTAAATTTTAAAAAGAATATAAAGCAATTAAAAACATGTACTGAGTTATTATGAAGGCAAACATGTACTGAGTTATTACTACTTGGTGCTTGCTTGGTCCAGCCCAGTTCTCAAATGATATGTCCCGTGCAATGAAACCATCACCATTAGCTGTTGTATGCCAAGCAAGTCAAAATGTTAAGATCAAACATCCTCATAACTCAATTTTTGTCTTTAAAGAGGAAATCTATATATATAATATAAAGCACAAATAAAAACACTATAGAAAAATCTAATTGAATCTATAAATGTTTTAACATGTAAAATTAGAAAAATTAGAACACCTTGGTGGTGAGAGACAAAGAGAGTTGAAAGAAAACAAAATGAACACTACATTAGAAGCCTTCAATTTGACTCCATTCTACTATTAAGCCAAAGTTTTCAGCTTCAAGAAATTGTGAGTGATTCAATATTGCATTGTCAACCATTTGCCATAGGAATTAAATATTCTAATATCTGCTAACAAAAAGAGAGTATAAACATCAGCAAATTCCCATGTGTATGCAAATGGTATATGTTATTTGCTAGCAAGCAAACATAGATTCACCCAAGAAAGCAAAGACTAGTTAGCATATCTTATAATAAACCAACATATTTTAAGCCCAAATATGCTTATGTTCAAAACTTCCATAGTAATAAAATAGACTTATGACCACTTGCGACTAAAAAAATTAAGATAGTACAATAAACAAAATTAATACTCATATTTTGTTTGAGGTACACCCAAGAAACATGTTTAATTGAACGAAAACAAAGTTGCAAATAATCTAGGCCCATGTGAAATTCTCAATCTTAAACTAATAGGTGAAATTTTCTCTCAAACTTCTATGGTTCTCCATTGCCATTATAATAAATCCATCAAATAACATTTGGTTGAGGTCTTCATTCTATTCCACCATGCAATAAATCACTTACTAAACCAGTACTACTTTAGTGTATACCTATAATGAATAAAAAACATGAGGCATTTGGACAATCGCATGATTAAAACCCAATTGACCAAACAGATTGAAGAGTTCATAGGAGTCAATTGAAACTCTAATTCTAACTAAATCATAAAAATTGGAACTCATTTGATTAGAAAATGTTGATCAAAAGGGAAAATTTTGAGTGGAGAATGACTCTTCCATGACAGTGTGCCCAACACAAAAGCAATAACGAAATGCATGAAATTTGGAAACTGGATATTAAAGAGAGAAAAAAACAATACAGACCAAGAGAACAAACATAGATCCTTTACAAAAAAATAAGTGGGTAAAATTGTTTCTTCTCTTTGGCGTTCTGTCAATCACCTAGTATGCATTAGATTTCACCTCACTGCCTACTTCTTCTATGATCCCAGCACACTCATGCCCAATTACCATAGGCTTTTTCACAATGAAGTTTGCACATCTCATATTCTTGACATACACTTCATTCAAAACACTGTGGACAATGACTATTCCATGACAGTGTATCCAACACAAAAGCAATAACGAAATAGGCACTGTCATGCTAAAAGCTCCCATGATAAAGCAAAATCCATTTTTAAAATTGGACTTCGTTAGTTAACCTTTTGCTTTGGAGCATGAAGCAAATTTGTCAATACCAATGGCCTCCTTGTATCAATAGGTTACAATTGACGAAAAAATAACAATAAGAATAAATTATTGCTCAAGAAGCTGTCATTTTCTTTGTAGGTCTAAAAAAATCAAAAACAAAAATGAAGCAAGCTAAGAAAGTGGAATGAAATCTTACCATCTAAATCTCTCTTGGCTGTAGCATTGGACTTTCTTAAGAGTACATTGGGAGATGGTGAGTTATTTTGTTTGAGAAATTTTGTCAAACACGTGGTGGTTGGTGGTTTGGGCAGTGGCTGAGATGTTTGGGCGACAGAAAGGAATGCTTTTAAATTGAACAAAAAAGCTACAACCCATCAAGTTCTACAACACACAATGAACACCATCATAGAGTACCGAATTAAACACATAGAGGTACTTAAATTGTCTGGTTATATATTCACATGACAAACAGTAAATAAAATACAGAACCCACCATGAATACCACTGTAGAGACATACGAAATTAAACTCAAACATTTGACAAGTGAATTTGACAAAAAAAAAATATGTATGAAAGCAATAAAACTTAAACATACCTAGTTGAGATTAGCAGACGAAGGTGAGATAGCAACAGATTCTATTGTCAACGGAACCTTGAATGAAGGATCGAAATAAAATTAATGCGTGTGTTCTGTGTCCTCGCGTGGTGGATAACAAAATATCCCATTCAACAAAAACTCCGATCTCAAACGAAAAAATGCAAGCATAATGCTTACACACACAAAAATGTGAATATCCAAAGCTTACCTGAAACAGAGGATCTTCTCTGTCTGTCTTTCTCCTCTCCTTCTCTCTATATGCCTTTCGTCTGCTTCTGTCTCTACTGTAGCCATCCAAAGCGTTGGCTGGGCTACAACTTTGCTGGTGGAGTGCGTTAGTGAATGAGTGAGATTTGAGATTGGGATAAGACTGGAGATGGATTCCATGTGAGAAATTTTGGGGATGAGTTTGGAAGGCAGGGATAGAGGGGTGAGAGATTGGGAGAGAGAGGCTTGAGTTGGGCAGGAAGAGAGGCGTGAGAGAGAGTCTATATGAGAAAGATAGAGATGTATAAGAGATATGAGTGTAGGGTCTTAGGATGAGAGACTTCTTCATGGGCGGAAAAACTAATTCAGGATTAACTGTAGACCGTTAGATAAAAAATTTTGAGATAATCTGAACCGTCTTTTATATTAGGATTACGTTGTCCGTTGGATGTGTCTATATTTTGTCTCAAAATGATCTTAACCTCTCTTTATCTTTTGGATTCAAACTTCGCTCTACTTTATTATATATATATATATATATATATACACACAGAGAGAGAGAGAGAGATAATCCTTATCTTAAAAAGTATTTACAATTAAGGAATTTTGATTTTGTGTTAGTTTTATTTTGGTCACAACTATATATATGTGTGTGCATGTGATAGAAAGAACAAAATATTTCTAATATATGAAAATCTTAAAATTTTAGAATTTTAGATAGAATTGAAAAAATATACAAATTTTCAAATTTAAAATTTATTTAAGCTTTTAATTTAGTCACATATGTGTATGCGTGTGCGTGTGCGTGTGCGTGTGCGTGTGTGTGTGTGTAGATGAATGAAATATGAAGAGAGGAAAAGAAAGAGTTTTAGTATAAAAAAAACACTAAAATTTAAGACTTTTAATTTTCAATTTAATTGATTTCCTTACCTGGTTTTTTCATTAGTGATGTGATGATGATGTTAAGAATACTTCAGTCATTCTCCTCCAAAGTGTACTTTTTGCCAAATATTTTTTGAATTTATACTTAAAATCAAATAAATTATAAAAAATGTACCTACTTCTAAAAAACACAAAAAAAATTCCACTCTTAAGTATTCATAGAATTGGGCTGGGCTTTTTCATGATTATTTAAGTCTTTGTGCAATTTCTACTAAAGAAAGTGCTTGCATTTTCCGGGTGGGTGCTGCCGGCAACTTAATGCAGGTTAGATGCATTATCAACTAGTTACACTGTGTTTGATATATGGTATTAGACCAAGAGCATTAAATGAATGTTACTTGATAATAAGCATTCCTTTATTTGGTTTGTTCAAAATTCATTCCCATTCCAAAGGAATAACTCATCCCATAAAATATGGGATTACGCATTACCAACTAAGACATGGTATTTCCCATTCCCAATGACAATCCACTTGGATTGGCTGCATACAAATCAAAAGAAATAGAAATTAAATAAACATAAACCATCTACTTTTTTGCACATAACAGTCCCAGATTAAGCATGTCCCATGACAGTGCCCTTTTAAGATATTTAGCAGCTTCAACCACTGTATCCTTAAGTTGTATCACTATGTGAAAAACACGCAGTCATCAATCCGCAGCTAATTTGCATAATTTAAGAGTAACGTATCCATTTACAAGAGTTTGACATAGCAAATCCCTGCATTGAAGCCTATTCTTACGAAAGCTCCCCATGCAAACAACAAGCAAGTGCCAAAACTTTCTGGTTTATTTCTTCTAACCAAATCTGGATAGCTACAAGCAGGCAAACCAATAGTACATAATTTTTAATCAACTTTTCAATATCATTTCGTCATGGGTCAGTAATGATGGAAGGAGCCAACTGAAGAAGCCCACTTCAGTTTCTCCATTCAATCTCTGAGACGAGTACTCCACCAACATATTCCAAAGGTCTCCAACAGTCCATCCATTGGAAGTGATCCACTGTGTTACCTGTGACAGAGAAGAGGGGTAAAAGGAGAAAACACAATTCAGCCATCTGAGAGAAATATCATCATACTGATACACCCCTGAACACATGATGGTCCCAGGTTCAAAATGACTAGAAATCTATTAAATGGGGCTATCTAGATATTTACCCAACAAGGCACAAAGTGGATGCCTGAACTACATGCCTTTGGTGGTCTCAAGATTTCCTAAAGATTAAGCTTCAAGGATTTTTGTCATTTCCTTCAACCATTAGCATTGAACTTAAAGATGGAGCAACACAAAAAGGTGATTTCAGTGGCTGATATTGTATATACAATTGGTGCTAGTCATAAATCCAATCTAATCCTTAAGTTGAAAAAACTCGGTATAAGAAAGTTGCAAAGACACAAGACAAGAAGAAAATACACAAAACTTACTAAGTAGGTGGGAATCAGTGAATATGACTCTTGTGATTATGCCATATGTGGAGAAAGTACACACATTATTCGCATATAAACTGAAACATTCTTACGTTTGCATATATACCTAAACATCCTCATATTCCAGCATAACATAGAAAAGCACCTTAAGGAATATTTATATTTTACAGAGGTGCTACAACAATTAACATCAATATGTCATTATCTCCCAAATGGGCCAGTCCCTAAGGGGATGATTAAAATGCCAGGACCAACAACCTAAAGACTAATGCAGGGAAGCTACTGCAAGCAAACTATGCAGAAAAATGTAGCCCTTATACCCAGTTTGACAATAATCTGTAGATATGCAGTATATCACTCTTTAAGCAGTTTTCATTATAAGCATGCCAAAAAAATTACCTGGTCCAGTGTCCGCAATGCCTCCATGCCAAAAGTGTAATACGATATGAAAGGTCTTGATGCCTGGAAAAGATGTACATAATAACAGGAAATTAATGTTTAGACAGGACAGGAGAAGAACAAACTAAGAATCCATTAAATGTTGTGACAAAGGATTTTACAGTCATTGACTACACTCCTCGAAAGGGTTTCTGGCATACTATAAGTAGTTTGATCCAACAATAGCATAACATGAAGGGCGCATCATGGAGTGAGTGTATCAGTTTGTAGTATCTATGCTAAGCTTCTTAAATAGTTCCACAATGATTCAGCTTAGTGATAAATCCAACATTTCTAAACCAAGACCATCACTCGTCTCATAATCTTCTCCTCCTGCTCACTGAAATTGATAAACAACCAAACTCAAATCAACACAAATATTGGACCAATGACCTTAGAGTTGTTGATTACTCGGTCCATTCCTACAATCTTAAAGATTCACAAGATTGCAATAGATTTTACCTCCTTAAAGCATCAGACTGATCATAATTAGCATCAAGTTGGACTTCAGCCTCCAATTATTTGAGTATGCTTATCAAAACCTCAAGATGATTTGAATATTTAGGAGTGTTAATTTTCATATGGCAAAGCCATAATTTGGCATAACAATGCCTCCCAAACTGCAATGATTCTAAAACGATGGCAAACCAAACCCATTCAAGAATGTACAATGATTACAAATAAATATATCAATGTTTTATCAAGAAGAAAAGAGCATAAAACATGGCCAGGATGGAAAAAAAAATCTGTTATTATACACGTAATCAAATAGAAATTGATTTTTTAAACTACCAGTGTGTAGCACAGAAAACTGACGAGCAAAGAAATGGATAGGCAGAGGTAATCACCTGCGAAGCAGCAAGCCACTGAATTGTGGCCTTAAGTTCAGGGTCTCCACCAAAAGCACCACAACCCCAATTCCCTGTCACAACCCCAATTTCATCTTCATGTTCCAGATACCGATTACCCTTTTCCTCAAAGTTCGAGGTTAGCTGGCCACCTGCAATTCTTTCATCTGTCTCAGCAGAAGTTGATGTAGCATCATCAATCTAAAAAACAGGCACTAAATCAGTAATAAGAATAGTTGATTAAAATAAAAAAAGAAGCCAGTTCGACATTGCATGATGACATAGTTTACACCCAGATTATAAAAAACAAAACCCTGAAATTGAAGAAAAAAAGAATGCCAACAACCACACTTCTCACATTCAACTCACCAAGACATGTACATGTTTTCTAATTCAAGTAAAAATGAAAAAAAAGAAAAGAAGAAAAGAAAAAAAACAGTGAGGAAGAGAGAAGCTCGAATGTAAATACTAACCAGAAGATTATCTGTGGACATGCAAATGGGTTCTGTGAAATCTTGATCAAGCTCAGCTTTCAAAAAACATTTGACGTGGAACGGCCTCTGATACTGCTGATGTTTACATTGATCAGAAAAACCACAAAACGCTTTGTTTATCTCCCTGCTTAAATCAACAAGTCGGGATATTAAAAGATTACTGGTCAACTACAGGTTAGCAACAATGCAAAGATAACAGGGGTGTAACTGCCCAGTTTCTTGGAAAGTTGTTTAATATTATGATAATCTATTTGTACAACTTAGAGCTCTAATATCTCCAAAAACTAAATACATTAAAACCTCCCAATAATTAATTAGAATTCCAAATATCATGAGTTTACAAGAAGGATATAAATAATCCCAAAATCACTGTTCCTTCCGTGTTTTGGTCCCACAACTGCCGTTCATTAGAAATTACCCTGCACTTGAGGGGAAAATGGAGGGTGAGCTGAAAGCCTAATAAGCAAAACTAGACAAATCTGACAGCATTATAGTTTGATAACTGAAACACTGCAAAAATATGATCAAACATCCATTCCCACACAAGGGCCAAATAAACAATACTCAACATTTCGGTAATATGACAAATGACGACCTGCCGCACCACACCACTTTGGCATCTAGAATATGTGGTTCAAGATCGTGATATCGGTCATCAACTCAAAGGCGGTGTGGCATATCGATCGTGGCGATACACACAAAATGTGCCCAAAGAATTTTAGAACGATCATCATAATTTTTGAAAAATATAAATAACAACAGAAATACATGCATCAGTCAGAAATACATAACCTGACACGCTTAATAAGTTAATATAGTAAAAATAAAATATAGGGGTGCTACAAGAAATATTTATCATCATCATTGTTCAATGTAAGCATTTATTACAATATCAATTGCAAAAATTAATTTTTATGAGACTTTTTTTTTGTAAACCATGCTATTTAACAATTCAAAATCATCAAATAGAAAACACTCGTTCAAAAATTCATGAAATAATAAATTTCTACTTTAAATTTAAATATGTAGTTTTAACATATATTGCAAATAGTGTATGAGTCACGTCATTGGGCCCAAAATGTTATGGTTGGTGGGAGAAGCAATGGAATGTCCATTGTGGCCAATCAGAAAATTCACTTTTGCTTCCTGGGATGAAATAATAGGTTGGTGTGTG